AATACCATATTAGCTACCACCTCCAACTGTACAAAATGAAGATGCAGCAAGCATTACACCTACTAGTACCAGCTCTTCTAATTTCATGCTAATCAAGTGGAAATCACATTAACTCTTGTTTACACTGTACAGCAAAATTCACAGCTGTCACTTCCTTCCAATCATCAGGTGTTCCATCTAATGATTGTTGTAGCTTTGTGACTGGGTTTAATTCCTGTTATATATTGCTGAAAAAATTGTTTGTGGTGACTTGGCTGACTGTTCGAGCTATCTCTTTCCTCCTTATCTAAATATTGATTGAATCAAGCATTGAATGGTACATGACCCACTTTAAGAACAAGACTAGCTTGCTGGTTCAATAGTAAAAATTGATAACTGACTTGCTTAATATGATTTGCGCCCTAACAATTCTTGTTCATGAAAATTTATGGACTGTATAGTGCCTATACCATTACTATCTCTGTCACATTCCAGTGACCTGATTAACCCTGTTATTGGGTGAAAAGGCTTATTGGCACTTGGTATAGTAGATGTAGCATAGTTGACATATTCTCCTTTACTTTCATTCATGGGTTCTTAAAAATATAGATTCAGGATAAGGGATTGCACTTCCTGTTTTTAATTTGTTCATTGTCTGAAATGATTAAGGAAGTGGTCTAGACCTTTTTTAGCTTATCCTTAAATGTTGGGAGGGAAACCTGTTTAGCCTTGCTCATAATCTCAGGGACCTGTGAGGAAATTATAAGCCTTTCTTCTGTAGATTCTTAAGAAACACCAGGTTAAGACATCCTAAACTTAGGGGTGGGATGGGCTATCTGGGAACCCATAGTTCCGATGAACAATAAGCCCTTGGCCTAGAGTAGCAGATAAACAAGGTACTATAAGCAACTTAAACATTGGTTATGTTCAACCACAAAGTATACCAGGGTCATGGCTACATTGTCAATATACCTCCCAGTTCAAGAAGGCTAACAACTGACCCATGAATCACTCATTTTGTCATTCAGTAACCACCAACCCACTTGCTGGTGAGATGGCTCCAGTTGGCAAACAACATCCACCAACAGTGCTTCCAGTCACATTTCATCTCTGGGTGGCATCAAGAGCTAAGATTAAGGTACTCTGGTTGAAATAAGTCTTTGAGACCCATATAGACCATTCCACTTGGTTTCAGACTCACCCAATTCCAAATCACCATGACAATCTTCAGTCTGTGTTTTCTTTGCATAGAGGTTGATCCTCAATAGAAAACTCAGTATGCCATTCTGAGTGCCCAAATTCTGGCAATGCTCTTTCATAAGTCTGTGGCCACAACAACAACAAAAGTCTTGGACATTTGCCACATTGGTAAAATTCCTATTTTCAAGGGAGGACTTCTCCTAGAATTGATAACTTTCTTGGATAACTATCCACTTTTGCCAAACAACTTTCCAACTTGTTTACAAATCCTTCAAGTTGTGAAAAACTAAATTTCCTCATAGAATAAGACAAGAGTTAAAGTGAAGGCCAGTACACAGTCCAGTAGATATAGCAAACTCTACAATAACAATATCCTGTGGTCACAAGCACAGAAAAAATTCTCCTAGTTGTCATATCTATGCTGAATAACAGAAGGACTGCTCAAAGTATAGGAGTAGCTCCTGGATAATGTAATTTGATAGGGTTACATGAGCTACATGTTTCCCCAAGTGATTTACAATGCATAATGGCACAAATAGTAGTTAGACATGGTTCAAAGGATAATCAAAAGGGCAACAATAAAATTTAATTATAAATTGATGTATACTGTTACAAGTTTAAAGCTATTTAGGATAAACAAAAGTAGTTTCATGCTACATTTGAAGTCAATCTAGAAAAAAAAAAGATGATAATTTAGATTTACTTATTTTTTTTTTTTGGTGGTTACGAGGTCGGTCAAATTGGCCAACCTTATATAGAGTTAGGGCAGAGAAAATTACAGATAAAATATTGTTACGTTTCCGTTTTTTAATTAACTTATTCCGTAACTTCGTTTCA